CCCCAAAACCCCAAAACCCCAAAACCCCAAAACCCCGGTTTGGGAGGAAAATATTGAGAATGGAGGAAGGTGGTTATTAGGAAGTTTATTGGGGGGTTGAGGTGGAATGGAAGTAGGGAGAATGAGATTTAGGAAAATGGGAAGAATGACGGTTTGGAGGGGAGATAGAGGGGTTTAGAGGGTCTGGAATAGGGGGTTAGCCTTAGGATGGAAAAAATTAAACGAATTTTGGTAATTTTTAAGAGAAATTTGAGATATTTATGTCTAATTTCTGAACAACTGTTTGTTTAAAGAGCTTGATATCTGGAATGGATGCATCTTTTCTATCAGTCAACTTTCTGAAAAACACATCTTGTAAGCTCTGAAATCTTTGCAAAAGGAATTTACAAAGTGAAGTTGCTATATGATCGAGTGCATACTCTCTATCTAAGCTTGTTCCATTCTTTTTATGGTTATATTTGAAATATCTTTCTTTTTCCCTGAATATTTTTACCTTTAAGCTCCTTTTGAATCCTTTTTGAATGTATTTTTGAAAGATTGAATATTGAGAAGGTATGCGACAACCGAGTAGATCTTTATCATGACTTCTTCTGAAACCTCGATATTGAGCATTAATAAAAATTCTGATCCATCGATCAACAACCAATTTTGAAGCCATTCATAAAGTTTAGCAGCATCTTTTTTGAGGTTTATCTTTTTCTCCTTTTTGTAAAGTTCGACTTTCTTTTTGAAATAAGCCTTGCAGACTTCCTTTAATCCCCTCAAGCCAGCCTTATAAATTTTATCTTTTCTTTTGAAGTTCTTTGAGTATTTTCCTTTTCTTGCAGTACGAAATTTCACAAATTTATCGCTTTTCTCTTCTGTAACGACTATTTGATTTTCAAGAGAATTCTGGTTATCTGTTTGAACTATTGGAGTGTACTTTTCTTCTTCTAGATTTACATGGGAGATCATTCCATCGATATCTTCTTGGGAATAAAACTCACTCTCATCAAATTCTTCGGGATCCTCAAAATGAAAGTGATATGAAATGTTGCTTTCGACTTCATCATTCGGTTCATGAGGGCTGTCATTCTTAGTAAGGTTCTCATTGCTACCTGTAGATTTTTCAGAGTCACCGCTATCCTTATGAGGGAGGTCGTCCATATCAGAATCCTTAATGAATTCTATCTCCTTTTCAAATAATCCAGGAGGAGGAAGGAAATTGAAATCAAGGTTATCGTCAAACAAAGTGGTCTCCTTAAGAATGTTTTCAAAGGGTTTCTGAACATCTCCAGATAATAGATTTTCAAATTGCTTTTCCATCGAATCTAATAAATTTTACAAATTTTCTCTCTTTTAAATAAGCGGAAGCTTATAAGGGGTTTTGGGGTTTTGGGGTTTTGGGG